AAAAAAATTTTATAAGTATAACTGTTAAAATATTGTTCAAACACAGTTCTCCACCCGCAAGTCAATATTACATTAACAATCTTTTTTTTTCCAGTCCTACTATTTAATCCATAGCTGGGAGGAGGAAATGGATTCATACCTTTCCTACTGGTATTTGCACATAAATAAATGTAACAACTCCGACTGGAATTTAAAGTTGGTTCTCCGATGTCTCATTCCAACCCCAACACATTCACATGACGGCTAATGATAGTAAGATGAAGACACAGCCACTAATGCCCAAATCATATCACAATGATATGACCACATGAAAAATAGTTGTTAATACTAAAATCACATGATAATGGTATTGTTATTGCTGTCTTATAACTGTAGTTAGAACACGGCTATAACAACAAAGATGAGGACATTAGTCCAAAGAGACCAGTGTATAAGAAGCATCCAGATTGTTACATTCCAGCTTCTCTACTTATTTTTTTTTATTAGATTATTGTTTTTCCTTACATTTTTTTTTTTAAAGTTAGGGTTTCACTTCAAGCTCATCACTTTGGAGAGATCCCAAGCCCTCATTGTGTGGGTGGCATTTTCTGATTCTGTAGTCTCCCCTTCTTTGTACTGGGTGTTAGCTGATGTCTTTTGAATTGTACCTTTTTTTTGTTTTCCATGTTATTTTTTTCTTTCTGATGATATATATATATATATGTGTGTGCGTGTATGTATATATATATATATATATATATATATATATATATATATGTGAAAAAGTGTGTATATAAATATAAATAAATATATATATATAATTATTTATATATTTATATGCGGTACTTATTAGAAAGCGCTCAATATCAGAGATAGAGCTAACATATTTGGTTGGATATATGTGAGTTTGTGACCCTGGGTTTCACGCTTTAGCAATCGTCAGACAAACTCTGATGATCGCTAAAGCGTGAAACCCAGGTGTCCCAAACTCACATCTATCCAACCAAATATATATATATAAAAACTTGTATAATCTATAGGGTTATTCAATCTGACTAATAATAGGATAGTACCCTACTCCCTACCACATCCTCAAAAAATAATCACTGACTAAATGACTAACTTGACTGAAGACATCAAAGACAAAGTCAAATTAAAAGAAAGACTTCTGTCTACTTTCTAAATTGGCTTCTTTTATATTTCTGGACTATTAAATAGACACTACTTTTTTGAAATGAACATATGTGTGTCTGTGTGCATATGTATGCACATATATGTGTGTGTGTGTGTGTGTGTGTGTGTGTTTTAATGTGAATAAAGTTTAAGCGTCTAGTGATTTTTTTAATTTTTTTTTTTCAGATTTGGTGGACATTTAAGAGATATTTTTTTTTTTTTTACATATAATTGCCATGACATAAATAACATAATGCAATAGAGAAATAAATAAATTTTCACCAATAACACCGATTTATTTACTGTTGAATTTGATCTGTTTTAATGAAACGCCCTTTATATATATTTTAGAATATTACACAAAAAACATGTAAAAACTGGCTACACAATTGCAGTCATGTTTCAATGCGTATCAATGCATCTCATCAGGCAATTGTAAATTACTGGCCAGTGAATGATTTATTTAGATTTAAAAACAAAATACAGCCTTTTTTTATGAAAAAAAAAAAAAAAAAAAAAAAAAGGGGGTATAAGGTTTGTAGGCTTTACTCAGATCAACCAATGAAATATGACCTATGTTAAATTTAAACTAAGCGAAGAAGTAAAAATTAAAAATTATTTTTTTATAAATAGGTCCTAACCTGTAGATTGGCAGCTAACACCAGACAAAGTAAAGTGGTCAATGTAATATTCTAAAATAAATAATATTGCTCTACTCTGTATTGAGCCAGCTTTTAAATTAAATGTTATGACCGTTGGAATTGTACTGAATTCATTCTCATCATACCTGGATGTGTGTGTGTGTTTGTGTATTAAAAAAAAAAATGCTACCTACTAATACTAATATGTAAAATTATATAATTATATAATTTAATCACCAAACATTGACCTTCATGCCAGCAAAAAAGACTTTTGCCCCATGACACTGTTTTTTGTTTTAACTACCTTCACTCTCCAGTTATTGTTTTAAAAACAATGATTCAAATTGTAATAAAACCTAAATGTATGAAACCTTCTTTGGATTTTATCAAAAATCTCTAAATATACAGCAGGAACACTAGACCAGATGTGGCAGCAATATTCAAAGCCTGGATGAATGGTAGACTTATAAATATGTAAGAGATTCTCGAGAGAAAATTTATCTGGCCCAACCACAGTGAACCAACTTTCCTAGAAGCAGACTTAGCAAATTATTCAATATACTTTTACTCTTGTTCAAAAAACTGGGGAGGAGTGTGAACTGGCCAATAGACAAACCTATCTACTCCTGATGAGGAGAAAAAAAAGCAATTAGTAAATAAAATTTCAGAGTTCAGACACAGAATTGAAGTAGACAATCAGTGTGTGTGTGTGTGTGTGTGTGTGAATATAAACAAGTGTGCAGGTTACATACAACAACACATGTATATAATAAATGCAAATGTCAATGTATCACACTTTGTCAATTTTACACCTAGAGGCTGTAGCCAAAAATATCATATCATATTTTGGATTCAGGCCAAATCCATGAGCAAATTAAAAACATTTCAGGCTGGATCTGGACTCACAACCTTAAATTTTGGATTCCCTAGTTTTCATTACTGCGATTGTTTTTGGCGATTATCGTACATGTTTTCTTGCAACAAATTTTTTTGTAGAATAAAAATTTTTATAACGTGGAAATAAATTTGGGAATAATCGAAATTACTTCCAAAATCCAGCAAAATAATTGTTTATATGAAAAGTAAGGACCTACGTACATCAAATTGTGGCAGAAGAATTATCATTGAACTTTTAAAAAGGTAAGCTTAAGTAATAATGCAATACTTAAATGCAGAGAACAATTTTGAGTTCTTCTGTAGTTTATTGCTGCCTATCACATCTACTCCTCCCTATCTATTGTGATAGAGACCCAGTCAAGAGGAGGTGGAGTCAGAATATATACGTGTGCTAATCTGTTAAGCATGTCTTTTTAAATGTCTAGTGGTGATCTGTTTCATGATAAACAATGTTTGAATTGGGAACTGGGTAAGCAGAGGCTGGAACCAGGGTGCAGTTAGTGGACATCAAGATAGATCTTTCGGTAGCTGATACAAAATATGGGATGCCAACCCTATATGCGAGTGATTTTGTCAAGATGCCATCTCTAGAAAGACTGCCACCCAGGGCTAAAGATTTCTTTCAAGCCATGAAGTGAATTATCCCGTGCCAGACACCAACTTGGAATTTGAATTTCCAGACTGTTTTAAAAATTCCAGCTCCAGATCTGTCCTCAGGATTTACTCCCGAAGACTTTCCAATGATTGGGTAGGGCCGTAAGGCAGCAGATGTTTAAAAATCAGAGTTTTCCTTCTCTTAGATGAACTACCATCCTGAGCTATGTATTTCATCTACTCAAAGTGTATGGATACACGTATAAACACATATATTAAACACTGTACATCAGATTAAACAGTTCGCCATCAAATGTACCACATGTTTTATCATATATATATGATATAAATAAATAAGGTATAAAAGTATAAAATTATCATCAAATATATGAGAACATTTTATTACTAATTTTTGTTAAAAATATGATAGATAATAAAACAAATTGACTAGTAGTAAACAAAACATCGTTATGACTTGAACACTTTAACAAATTTGAAAATACGTCCTCCACTATAAAAAAAAAAAAAATGTTGCATTATAATTAATAAGAAAACGATAAAATTATAAGCAAATGTTGTTCAAAAGATGTTGACTTATAAATGAGAGATAAAGAAAAAGATGATCCTGAACCAATAGTCAAAGATGAAGAAAAATTAAAACTCTGCTTTTCCTACAATTTCAAAAAATATGTCCTCCTTCATAAAGAGAGAAATGCTATGCTTAAATACAGAATAAAATCCTCCATATCAATGTACAAGTAATTTAACAAATACAATGCATCAAATGGTCTTAATATAATAATAATAATAATAATAATAATAATAATAATAATAATTGCCAGCAAGACACTTTTAACAAATTAAACCTGCTAAACCAGTGCTTCTCAAACTATCGGATATGGTGGACTGGCATTTGTTTTTCTCAATGCGTCATGTACCTAAAATATTTCATGGTAATATTATTTTATACCGGAAATGATATATATTAGGTTGGTGCAAAAATAATGATGTAATAATGTCGTTTTTTGACATATTTTTTAACGTCAAAAAACGACATTATTACGTCATTATTTTTGCACCAACCTAATATAATGAATATAATAAAAGTTGACTATTTTTTATCTCCCATTTATTTTGCAAAAAATAATTCAATGTCAAAACATATAAAAAGAAATAAAAAATAAGCTTCAAATGATTCCTGACCACGGCCTGGACACTGGGTATGTACCGGTAGCTGATAAGTTTACGTAGTGGCACTTGTCTGCAGACCACCATTTTGAGTAGCACTGTACTAAACAACACTTAAAAAAATGCATAAAAATATAACAAAAATTAAAATATAATAAAGAAAATATAAGAATAAATGGATAGTTAAAACAATGAAGTCTTTCCTTTTTTAAAAATATGACATTGATTTCTTTGAGCAATGAAATAACATGTCCATTCACTCTGACATCTCAAACAAAAATGATTACAGTTTGTCATTCACTGCCACTGAGCGGACAGGGAAATCGTCTCGTCCTTACTCTTATGGCATCCTTCTGGAAGTGTCTTCTCATGAAAACTGACTTTTCTCTAGGACTCAGGGCTGGACATTGGGGTTTCTGGGGACAGCAGGACTGAACAGTGTGGAAAGGGATTGTCAATGGAGTTCTGAACAACCATAGGGAGTTTGAAGGATGATGACAATGAAGTGTTTACTCTAAGTCCACTCACCTTTAATGGATTCTTCTAAGAATTCAGCAATTTCTTCTGTATTTGATGTCGTGAGAGATTTAGCAAAGACAAATTCACCCTCAATTTCAGTAAAATTGTCCCACAAGAGTTGACGTCTGCGTCTAAGTGGCTCCTTTACAAGTGACTCCCCATTGAAGTACAAAAGGTCAAACGCATGAACACAAACTTGAACTTTGATTTCTGAAGCTGAGGCATCCTAAAATAAGAGAAGGAAAATTAATCCAACCATATATCAAGTACATTTCTTTATACCTACCTTCTTATTTTGTATATACAACTTTTAACACAGACACACACACACAAAAAAAAAGAAAAAAAAAAGAAAAAAAAAAAGAAAAAAGACTATTGCTATCATTTTTAGGGGGAGAGTCACTTTAGACTCATTTATTTGCTTTTTATGGTTTATCAACCTTTGAAAGTTATTTAACACCAGAAAATATTCTTTTTTTTTTTTGTAATAATGTTTTTACTGATACAAATCTTACTAATTAACCCATTGCTTGGGGGGAGAAGTGGTGGATTCATACCTTTCAAAGCAGTATTTGCATCTAAGTGAATATAACGAACCCAACAGGAATTGGAACTCTGCTCTTTGATTAAAAATTCTGAGCCATTATTCATTACACTACCCACACATTCAAGTTTACAGCGCCTAATATTCCCAAGCAGTCACCAGTCTAGTTACTGACCAGGTTTGACGTTACTTTGTATGGAAACTGGCATTTCTACATGTGGCCGTAAGGTTCACACAGTAGAAACTCAGTTCTAAGTGGAAAGTCAGGCAAAGATACACCAGAAAATCAAGAGCAGAATTGGAAAAGAATTTACAAACAAAGCATTGTTTTATCAGTAGAAGATAATAACACCTCAAATTGAGTGAAGCAAGGTGGGATAAAAGACTTAATCTTATAACGGAATCGCAAGTAGTCCCAAGAACCAAACTTGTGAGATATCATACAGTGCCTCACCCTGTCAGAAAATAATGTCTTAACCTCTTTGAGGAGACGTTTACAATTATTACAAGCAGACATAAATATATACTATTTTGGCAATAAATACATAGCTGTGATAAAGTTTAATTTATCATGAAAGGGATTTAAAAAAATAATTGATAATAATGATTAAGGACTTCAACAGTTGATTAGCAAGTTGATACAAAGCTGATTAATATTCTGAGTGATTTTACTTCAGCATTTGACCCTCCTCTATTCTTTGTAAGTTGTCTTTTTAATTGTTTTGTAACTTATTGTTCTATGTTTTTTTTTATGTATTTGTTAGAAAGTTTTAATAGTGAGATGCATTGAAGCAAAAGTTTTGAAACAATGTATTGAGATTCAATAAAGTGGAGATAAAAAAAAAATTCAAAACTAAAACAGAAACCAATGAATGATTTAATTAATCGGTTCCTTTTATAATTTTTATATGTTCAATAATATCTATGATTCATTGATTTCTCTTGGTATCATAAATTGCATTTTGTTCAATATCATTTCATGCTAAAAAATTTTGTTTCATATAACTGTGAAATAAATATCTCTTGGGAAGAAAAAAGATTAGCAACAGACTGACAAGAAAGATGACAAAGGTTTATTTCAAGACCATATTCCAAGATCAGGTTGAATAGATAAAGGTATCTGAATGCCTCACATGAAAGTCTTGAACAAATAAGACTGCAATCTAAGAAACGTAGGAGTAAAGGAACTGATTAATTAAATGGTTCATTTTACTCAGGAACTAATTTTTTCTAAATGCAGATAAATATTTTATTTGTATAGATTATTAAAATTACTAAGGGAAGTAATCACTCGTAAATTTACTAACTTGATTTACATCCCTTGCCACTACAAATGGGACAGAAGATATATAAATAAATACACATTGATAATTATTATACGATTTAATTGATACTGCAAATGGGCATCACAGTGCCAGCTGATGGTTAATGAGCTAGTCTGGTTGACTATTACAACTGAGAAGTGAGTTTAATCTTTCCTGTGTGCACTATATTTGTGGCCATGAGTCAAACTAACCTAAGCTTAATAAATATATTGCCTTGTGATGGATAATGTTCAGCAAGCTAATCTGGTTGACCCATGACAACTAAGTACTAAGTTTGGTGTTTCAATGTGTTATGGCCTTAAAATTACTATAATTAGCAATTAATTAATTAAAAAAAAAAAAAAAACCATGATGATGGGGTGGGGAGTGATGGAATATCAACAACCTGAAACAACATTGTTTTCAAATTAGAACACACACAAACAAAATGGAAACAAATACCGACAAAAGGAATAAAGTAAAAAACAATTTACCTTTCGTTTTCGAGTGCTAAGCACCTGGAAAGGAAGAATCGTTTGTTTCTCCTTGTCCCAGGCCACAGCTTCGGCATCGAGAACGCATGACTTGACATTTTCTTTGAATGATTTATTGATGCGTTCAATAATGTCTGGATATTTGGACGTGTTGTCTTCTGAGTTGCGACTGTAGATTTCTATTTTCCCATCCTCTTTCAGGTGAATCTAAGCAAGAAATATCAGTGAATGAATAAATGCCATCCACTTTCAAGAATTATCCAATCAGCTTATTGCATTTGATTATGCATAAGACACACAATTTATGTTTTAGGCCAAGGACAAATACAGGTCGTCTACTGGAAGCCACAGCAAGAACCACATTTTACATTGCGACTCATTAAACCTAAGTGTAATAAATCAAAATATCTATTCACCAGGTTCATTTATTTAGCATTGACATTTTATATGTATATTTCTTAGCTTCCACATATATTGGCATTACATGTATCTATTTGTATTATCTTATTTGTAGAAATATAAAATTATTAGTTTTAGAAAAACAAATTTAAAGGAAATTCTGACACAAAAATAAAGTAAATAATATTTGAAAAAATGTTATTGGATAAGCTTGTTTGTTCATCCAGCTAATTCCACTTAAGAACCTTCGCCCAAAAACTAAGTTTTAGCACCATTAAATATTTGAAGGGTTTAAGAACAGGATTTTTTTAAAAAGTTCACCAAGTACATTTTGAAAAAAAAGATTACCAAAAATCATTTTGAATAAAAATATTTAGAAATACATTTTCAAAAATTTGTTGCCAGGAAATGTACATTCGAACAATACATTTTTAAAAAAAAATTACCAGCAATAACTTTTTTGAAAAGCTCCTATTGGCAGCAATACATTTTAAAAAATATGACAGTTCCAGGATACAGGTTTGATTTTTGGAAAAAAATTATTTTTAAGAATGAATTTTTAAAAAATTATTACAAGTAAACATTTTGGGATTTATAAACAATATTTCTATATTTGTATTTTTTTATAAAAAATTACATAAACAAAAAAATATCCAGAAATAATTTTGAAAACTTTGTTATTTCATAATATATGCAATAAAAGGCAGAATGTACATTTTGTAAAAAATTATAGATTGCCAATAATTGCAAAAAATTTTCCAGCAATATATTTTGGAAAAAAAGCTGTTTGGCTTAACCAGCAATATATTTAAAAAAATATTACCAAATACATTATCACACTAGCATTGAATTTTAGAAAAAATAAATCATGAAAATTCATCATTGGAATACATGAAAATCAATTAAATTTATTAAATTTTAGGAAATGCAAAAATACATTTTTGAAAAAATATTTAAGATATGTTCATGTAATTTTTGGAAAAATTATTAAAAATTGCATAAATACATTTTTGAAAAACATTATTTTATAGATATATATTTAAAAAAATATTCAAAGTCAACAATTATTTTAAGACATTTTTTTGAAAAATACATTCTTTTATCAATACAATTATTTAAAAAATATCTGCAGCATATAAAATTCAGTATTAAAATTTAACCCATTGAATTTTGATATTTCGTAAACAGGGCAAACGAAAACCAATCAAAATGTATCCTACACACAACCTTTTTTATATGACATGACTCTTAATCTAAATGTCTTTCTGTCAGAAGGTAAATCCATTTAATCTTTTTCCCTGCAACCTTCAATTTTTTTCCTGTATTTCATATTATGGTTCGAGTTCTATACATCCAAACGTTGTCAAATGAAACATTATGAAATGGACAAAGTCCGACAATTATTTTAAGACATTTTTTTATGAACAAAGCAAACAAAGCAGAGTTCATAGAAGGCAGTCATGCCACACCCAACATCAAAGTCAAAAGAAGAAACCAAAACACTGACAACATAGATGTTGGAAGTGACAGCAAAAACTAAAGGTAAAGCCACCTCATATTCCCAATTCACCACACACCATCAATATCCCATGCCAGTATAAAAAGTCAAATTGGGAAGATGCCACATTTTATGTTGTATGTTCCTGGACCTGCTGTTGTAGGTTTGTCTAGAAGCAATCAGAAAACCTTATTACAATAAATGCTGACACTATTAAAAAAACAAAAAAAAAACACAGCTACACCCATCCTGAATGTTGAACGAAGGGAAATATATCCAAAACAGTTTGACAGAATCAGCAACTTTAGCAAAACTGAAACTGAAAGAGGTTGCAGAGTCATTCATTGATCCCTCATGCAAATGCAGCATCCTAAGACAAACTAAAGCAAGTGATTCAAAAGCTAACAGAAGAGGACCTACTAAAGAAGGTAGATGATCACACAGGCTGGTGCTCCAGCCTGGCCTTCAGCACAGAAAAAGCTGAATCTTCTATCTAAAAGTGAACAGTTCAACCTTATTACAATAAATGTTGACTCTCTTAAAAACAAACCTGAAAAAAAAACACCACTACACCCATCCTGAACGCCAAATAACTAAGGAAAACATATCCAAAACAGTTCAACAGAATTGGCAACTTTAGCAGAACAGTGAAACTGTTACTGTAAGAGGTTGCAGACATTCATTGATCTTTAAGTAGCAACCTAAGACAAACTAAAGCAAGAGTTTTAAAAACTAAAAGAAGACACACTAAAGAAGATATATGAGCGCACATGTGCTCAAACCTGTCCTTCAGCACAAAAAAAAAGAATGGATCTCTCAGGATATGCATCAACCTGCAAAAACGAAACTGTAGCCTGAAAAGATGTCTCCACAAAATACCTACAATAGAAGAGCTGAATCTGAAATTCACGAGGGTGAAAGTATTGAATAAACTCAATGACAGGACATTTGGATGAAAAATCCCAGTTGCTGACAACATGTAGAACATACTTTGGACAAGTTTGTTCGAAACAATTGCTATTTAGTCAAAGCATCTCACAGGATATCTTCCAGGTAAGGATGGACCAAATTCTTTAAGGTTTAGATGATCTAAGCAACCGAAACTGGTTTGTATTCAACAGTGAAAAGTATGTCATAAAACAACTCAGCGTCATATTTTTTGGCAGCATGTACATAACCAATGGCATCAAGCCAGAACCTGCAAAAATACACGACATCCAAAAGATGTCAAATCCGCAAAACAAAGATGAGCTACAGCGATTCCTGAGAATGTTGAATTACCTCACACAATATATCCCAAACTTTGCAGAGAAAACACAACCCCTGTGTGGTCTTGTAAAATCCCACTCACCATTGATGTTGGATCTGGATCCCCCAAAATGCTATGATGATCTAAAAGATATGATCCATGTCAATGATCCCCTATCATACTACGACCAAACAAAACCAGTATCAATGAAAGTAGCCGCCTCACATTTCACCCCAAGCAAGGCAGAAGTGCCACTAGCATGAAAGGGGTTGTGGAGAGTGAAAGTGAAAGAAAAAGAGTGGCTGTAGGGGAGACTGAAGAAAGTACAGGGATCAAGGCAACACAAGATGGCGATTGATTTTTTTTTTTGTATTTTAAGCAGAATAAATTGTGCTTTCCATTGTACGGGAAGTCTTGGGAATTAGCATTGGCAAACCAGTTGCATTTGGTTCCAAAATGCAGACCGACTGCCAATCCAGATACAGCAATATTGAAAGAGAAATGTTAGCAATTGTTCATGGAATCCAGCATTACTACACATATCTATATGTAAGCACATTCATAGTGATCACTGACCACTAAACAATAGTCACTATACATGCAAAACCACTGCATTCTGAACCACCTCGTCTACAACGCATGTTGTTAAAAATTCAAGGCTACAAATACAGTCTACCACCCTGGTGAAAAGACAAAAAATATTGTAAATGTGTTCCGCTGACCCATGGAATATTGAAACAATGTGGGTCATGAATTATACAAAGGAATCAATGATATAGACACAGAAGTTGATGACAAGCAACAGACTATCACAATCATCAATTTCTGTGGCAGTTGCATTTAACTATTTCAACAATAAAAGGGTGGGACCGAGATGCCAATCTAGTAGCACACTTAAATTCATATATGCAGGACAAGAGGGGAAAAAGTTGCATTATTTGTAAAAAAGACTCAAGGAAGCCATTCCAGCCACCTGAAGAAGGCCGGAGCATACAACGGCCAAAATGTTGTAATAAATATGGCCATAAAGATGAGGACAATAGTCCAAATAATGTAAATAGTGTACATAATGTCCTCATCTCAGAAATATAAACAGATACTGAAAGGCCAAAACATTGTAATAAATATGGCAACAAAGATGAGGACAATTGTCCTAATAATGTAAATAGTGTACATAATAACCTCAGTTCTCTGAAATATAGACAGATGACTGAAAGGCCAAAACGTTATAATAAATATGGCCATAAAGATGAGGACAATAGTCCAAATAATGTAAATAGTGTACATAATACCTCATCTCAGAAATATAAACAGATACTGAAAGGCCAAAACATTGTCATAAATATGGCAACAAAGATGAGGACAATAGTCGAATAATGTAAATAGTGTACATAATACCACATCTCAGAAATATAAACAGATACTGAAAGGAAAACTTTATAATAAATAAAAAAAAGATGAGGACAATAGTCGAATAATGTAAATAGTGTACATAATACCACATCTCAGAAAAAGATACTGAAAGGCAAAACATTGTAATAAATATGGCAACAAAATGAGGACAATAGTAAATAATGTAAATAGTGTACAATGAACCTCATCTCAGAAATATAAACAGATACTGAAAGGCCAAAACATTGTAATAAATATGGTAACAAAGATGAGGACAATAGTCCGAATAATGTAAATAGTGTACATAATATCTCATCTCAGAAATATAGACAGATACTAAAACAATTCTGTAGACCAAAGTAGAGTTTTTTTTTTTTATTGGGGTAAGATTGTGATTAATCAAGATAGATGAGGGAAGTGCAAACAGTTATCATATTTTCAAGGCCATCTGAAGTCAGTCATATCTTGATTTGGAATTTTTTTCCAAAAGAATAAAGGACACAAATTCTTTTTGTTTTATCTATCGCCGCCACAAAATAGACAAAATTTAACACTAAAAAAGAAGTATTATTAAAAGAAATATATACAAGTAATCTGGAAATTAAACATGTTTTTAATCCTTACCTGTGCTCGTTCACCATCATATTTATATTCACAGGTAAATACGGCTCCATCAAATCGAGACAAGACTTCACTCACTCCTTTTGTGGGATGAGCCAACATTGGCTTTAAGGGGATTCCTAGCAAAAGAAAAAGAGCAAAGAAAAAAATATGGTGGTCTCTCATCATGAATGATAAATGAGGGTCAGCATTGGAGGGCGCCTTTTGTTTTACACTTATGCATCCTAGAAGGGGCTATTGCGGAGAAAATCAACTAAGGGAAAGACATATTTCATTTGCACTTTCTTAAGTGTGATACTAGCCTAGCCTCGCTGCAGGCGGCAAAGCCACACTGACAGATGAAATTTGTTAAAGCAGGATTTTGAAGGTGTCTCGGCTTCAGAACACGATGAAACTGATCATGGTGTTTCAGCCTACTGTCTTCAAAACCCTTTAATTTAATGAAACATGTCTTACACCATTCTTTCAGTTTGATGCTTGGGCATTCCAGGTTTTCGGATCAAAGTTGAGATGTTTCAAGTTGTTTTTCAATTTGTCTTTGTAGCGTAAGAGTGATCATCCAGCTGAACATTATATATATATATATATATATATATATATATATATATATATATATATATATATATATATTTAATAAAAAACAGACCACTTTAAGGTACCATTACAATAATTTATTTCACCAAAATCCTTTTTGAAGGACTCTGGATCATCAGGTAACAATTCCAACAATGAAAATGAAAGGAAAAATGGGATTAAAAATTGATGGGTAGTGTAATTTTTGTAATTTAACAGGGAGGGTGATAGTTGTAGTTAACGAGACAAGGTAGAGAATAGGGAGGGTTAATTTCATATTTCTCTTAAGCATGCTTTATATTGGGGTAGGAGGGGTGACCGAACCGTGACCTATTTAGAAGGTTAACTCTACCTTGTATTCACATTGAGCTCTCAGGATTTCATCCTCCTTGGAATTACCCATTTGGTTTACCAAGTAAAAATAAACTTAACTATATATATATATATATATATATATATATATATATATATATATATATATATAGAATGAAATGGACTAATTCCAATAATAATTTTAATATATTTTCTGTTTATGTTATTTTTATAGATACAAGTATTTAAGTTAATGCTCTGTTTATACACATTATTAATTTCATTTACTGGCTTGAATGTAAAGGAATATATGTAAAAGGAAATGGCAAGTAACCTTACCTAATCTGATTGCTTGATTTGTGTCTCTACAATTTAGCAACCCTTTGTGGGTTATTTAAAGCTGAAATATATTTCAGCTTGTAGGAGGTTGCTTACAATACAGAGACATTATCTATGATTTTATTAGAGATATACATAATTTATGATATTACAGAAATTCATTTCTATAAAGGAAAAGTGCATTATCAGTATTTTTATTACAGAAATGCATTATCAATAATTTCCTTACAGTAATGCACATTCTATGAATTTACACAGAAATGCTTTAATCTGTGGTTTTATTACAGTTGATGCATAACTATAATTTTATAAAAATGCATTACCTATGATTTTATTCCAGAAGTGCATTATCTACGATTTTATTCCAGAAATGTATCATTCTACGATTTTATTCCAGAAATGAATCATTCTACGATTTTATTCCAGAAATTAATCATTCTACGATTTTATTCCAGAAATGAATCAATCGACGATTTTATTCCAATTTTATTGTCTAATATTGTTTTTAATATTCTACTTTGCTACAATATTCCTCACCTACATCAAATTATGTGGGGGTGCTGAAAAAGAAAATGATAGGTCAGGCTGAAAAGCACCTTAGGGGTTGTTCCCCCAACAGACATAATAATAACAATAAAAAAAAAAACAAGTACAACTCTTTTCCAAGAGGATAAACTTTGCGTATGCAGAAACATGCTCAGCTCTTATATAAAGCTGACAAAATGTCAGAATGTTTTTTGTTTTTTGTTTCATTTCTGAATCCTTCTTGATTAGGTAGATAACATTTCACCAATGTATATTATACTGTGCTCTGTCCATCGAAGGTGACATAAAATATTGAAAGACAAAATTATTTACCTGGAGTCAATTTGCACTTCTTTGGTAGCTCTTCTATACCATCTTTTAATAAAACTTTGACAATGGCATCGTAACTGGGACATTCACTGAAAAAGCAAGAAATGTCTTATTTAAGGACAAAAATCAAGCATTATTACAAAGCAATCCGAATATACTGATCTTCATTTATGTCCCATGACCCTTCAGAAAGATGATTATCGCTCTTCACAACGTCCCATCTTACATAGTTCTAAACAAAGTTTTGCCCCTTTACTAGCCTTCCTAAACCATGCTCAACCATCCATTTCCTCATTATGCCTCCCAAAAATTTCAATCCTTCTGATCCTAAGCCCAAATGCTCATTTTAATCCCCAAAACTTCCTTGTTGCTCATACTCCATCCATGTTATTCCCAGCATCCATCAGTAGCAGAACATCTGTTAATTCAAGTCTTCTCTTCATCTGTGAGGAAACTGCCAAACATTCATTGCCATATTGGAGAACTGATATTACATAACAGTTGAGCACTATTTTCTTTGTTTCTTATGGATGAGGCTTATAACACATTGAAATACTGGTTCCCATCCAGTCACCAAAGTTAAGCAACATCAAGCCTGGTCAGATGGATGACTACTTGGCAATACCAGGTGCTATAAGCTTGGATATGCCAGGTGGTGTAATTGGCTAATGGATCAAAATTGGAAAGCCAATCTCCAATTCCAGTCGGATTCATTATATTCACTTACATACATATACCCTTGGGAAAGGTAAGAATCCACTTCTTCTCTCCCAGCTATGGGTTAATTAGTACAACATGTTTCAGTAAAAATCATTATAATCCCTGCCCCCCAAATCCTTACAATCTAAAATTTATTTTTCTGGCTTTAAATAAACTACAAAAGGCTGGTAAGCCATAAATAACAAATCAATCAAAAATTCACATGGATGTATTTGCTGATAATCTATTGTCCACTGATTTCAGGACTGGTCTGAAAACATCAAGTGGGTGGTCAAAAAAAATGTCTATATAACACAGGTTGTTAAATGGCTTTTTGAAAAGCCTCCCTACACAGACAAAAAATAAATAAATAAAAAATGAATTTTCCTGTTCCTTAATACTTTGTTCAGCTTTTGAAAACTAGCAAAAGAAAGGAACATTGGCAGCACAATGTATATTCATATTTTTTTTTTTGGTTTTACAGTGATATTCACTCTGTACAAGGCTCAAGAGCCACTTGAGTTAGAGGGTTACAGAGTAAGTGATAATGGGCACAATTTATGAGGATATGAGGGGAAGAAAAGTAATACTTAATATTGATCCTGAACAAAATACAATGGGATTGTAACACTCTGTGACATTGGTAAATGGAAAAGAAAGGGTTATGTTAAAATATAACTTGGAACAAGACAAAAAGGGTTAAGATACAAATTACAACTGAGGTGAAAAGTTTACATGAGATACCAAGTGAGACAGAGTAATTGCCTACGCCCACTAAGAAGTAATGGTGCAGGGCATGAATGAGAGAAGGTATAAGATATATGGGTGGGTCAGTACCTGCAACCACTGCCCATAGGAAAAGGGATATCCCAAATTTGGAGAAATAATTAATTCTCCAAAGCGAAACAACAAAGAACTCTTGCTGGAAGACCAGGGAAAGCCAGAGTCCCCAAATACCATCAGTCCCCATGCTGGTCTTAGTATTTATCGATCCACCCACGAGGATTGAATGTGGCACAAGGCCAGTTTAATGTGGGTATCTCCAAGCCCGTAGGCTCGACCAAAAATATAGCCTTTGAACCCGCCTAGACGGGTTCAGGCCCTGTCTACCTCCTTGGGACAAAACCTTGCCCTTCGCAAATGTGAGGTCCTGGTTCCTCTCTAACGCAGAGAGTTTGACAGACGTCGCTTACAGTCAAAGACTGTATCACAACTCAGCTAGACTCTGAGGTCTTACCCTCTCTATCTGTCTTCCATGCCAAAAGCATATGCTTTATTAATATTACCTTTTATTTTATTTTTTAATCACCCTTTCATTTTTTAGATACCACAACTAATAATAGTGAGATTATCCCACCTATCTAACAGGGACTCCTAACACCCACTAGGTATAATACAGTATAAAAGAAAAGGGCACAAACTCACTCTCTCTTTCTCTTGCCTTTCAACCACAGGATCCTGTAAGGACAACACACGTATCATTTCCCCTTCTATTACATAAATAAATAAATAAATAAATAAATATAAATATATATATATATATATATATATATATATACTTCCAACTTAAGAAAATATTCCCTGTCAACAGACAAGTCAACACTGTTACAAACTGATGGCTTCCTGTGAAAGACTTTACAGTAGCAGAGACTTGTTTTATTGTTTTTCAACTAAAAATATTCTTCTTTATGTGCTGTGTCCCTTCAGAATGTAGGCGATCATGGCCCTCCATACCTTCCTGTCCCTTGCAGCTCATAATTGTCTTTTGCTATTTCTCACAAACATTGTTCTAGCACTCATTTACACAAGCTCAAGTATGTTATGCACTGTTTTCCTCTGTCCCTCAATCCTGTGAGTATCAGATTTTCTAAGCCCTCCTTCCTCATTATGTGCCCCAGAAATTTCAATGCCTCTTCCTGATGATAATTATAAGTTTCCTTTTTGTTTCCATTTTCTCTAAAACTTTGTCGCTGCTCACATGTTCCATCCACAGTATCCTCAGCATCCTGCAGCAGAACCACATTTCTGTTGCTTCAAAGTCTCTTTTACATCACCGAGACTGTCCAGCATTCAGTGGCATATAGGAGGACAGATATCACGTAACAGTTCAATACTTTTTTTTTTGTTGTTAGGCCTAAAACTACACAAAGAATTCCTTATTCAACAAAAACAAAATGTCAAATTCATGTGAATCTGATATATCACGCAACAGTTCAGTACTCTTTTCTTTGTTTCTAACAAAGTTTTTCTGTCTCTTAACACCATACTTAGCTTTTGAAATGCATCTTTGGCTATCCCAATTTGTTTTTGGGTCTTAGTGTTGCACTTTACTTCTTCTGTTAGAACACCAGATATTTAAATTTTTTATATTTGTTTGATTTCAGTATCCCAGATTTGTAATTTACATTTTTGGGATCATGCTTTTGCTAAGAGCCAAGAATTCTATCTTCCTGCAATTCATATTTAGTCTTTACTTTCTGTTTTGCTTCATTACAAAAATGCAGGAACTTTTACTGAAGCAATAACATGAGTTGTCTTTTCTTTTTTTAAATCAATTTTGTTCTTTTTAATTTTTATTTGGAAATCTAAAGATGCCCTTAATGACCCTCTACAACAAACCAGAGTGTGGTGATTCCTTAACTGAATGGAAGTTTGATAATACAACCAAAGCTAATTTTAAACAAGCTTAGGAGTTAGGAAGTAATTGTGATATCCCTGTCCCTACCTGTGGTTTTGAATAACCATCACAAACCCCAAAAGTCTCACCTATCTTCAATGGATTGTTTTTTAAGGTGTGTGAAAGTCCCAGCTCTCATTTTCTGGAAAATTAAGAAGTAAATACACGACTGAAAAAAAAAATTATTTTGCTGCAATCTTTAGCACACATTATTCCATATACAGTGAGAAAACAGATTTTGGTGGAATAACTATTTTGGTAAAAAGAAAAGAAAAAAATTGATAAATCAAGTTTTTTGCTGAAGTTATTTTCAGTTGGCATTCATAATCTTGTCTCTTCCTTCAACAGATATATTGATGTCTCAGCATTCTGGGAAAATTATTGAAGAAGATGCACATTTGGGCAAACTATTCTCTCAAATCCATCTCACCTGTTCAGGTAGTTGCAGAAATATTTTTTAAAAAATGAATGCATCTAAATACAATGTGGAATACAACAACATCTACAAACCAATATGTTGTCTTGATGATGAGAGTTGTCTCTTCTAATTTCTTTTTCAAAGTATCAGCACTCAGTCCTTTTCCAGCATCAGTAATTTGGGGAGGAAATTCTGAAAAGAAAATTGGTTCAAAAATAAAATAAAAATTTTAAAAAAAAAAAAAAAAAAAAAAGAGTCAAAACAAAAAAAGTAAAACAAAATCAAAATGAAAGGTAACAAGGAAGTAAACAGAAAGAAACAAAAATAAAATTAAGAAACTACAAAAAACAAAAAGAAAAACAAAAGGAAAGAAATAGAGAAAAGAACTGAAAAGAAAAATGAGAGAATTGAGAAGGAGGAAAGAAAGACAGAATGAAACAAAGAAAGACAGAAAAACAGAAAAAAAACAAAGAAAAACAGAAAAAACAAAGAAAAACAGAAAAAAAACAAAGAAAAACAGAAAAAAAAACAAAGAAAAACAGAAAAAGACAAAGGAAAACAGAAAAAAACCAAAGAAAAACAGAAAAAAACAACAAAGAAAAACAGAAAAAAAAACCAAAGAAAAACAGAAAAAAAAAAAAGAAAAACAGAAAAAAAAAAACAAAGAAAAACAGAAAAAAAAAAAAGAAAAACAGAAAAAAAAACCATGGAAAAACAGAAAGAAAAAAAAACATGGAAAAACAGAAAAAACAATGGAAAAACAGAAAAAAACAAAGAAAAACAGAAATGAAAAGGAAAGAAGAACTGCTTCTTCTGATTCTACCTCCATCATATGATAGAGTAGAGATAATAATCTGAATTTCTTGCATCAAGTATTGTCTTCATTAATATTTGACTATTATTTCTTTCATATTATTTTTATAGTATTAGTAGTATGTGGATTGTGTATTTTTGGTTATTTCCCCTAGTAGTAGTAGTAGTAGTAGGGAATATTGTCTTGTTTGAGCTTTTTACATGACACATAGACATTAATATTTTTTGCCTAGTTTTTCTTTCATCTGATTTTTGCTGATTCTTAATAGTCAGAGTACTAGTAATAAACTTTTTAACAAACTTACGTTGATTGCATTTCTTGCATGAAGCATTTCCATCATTAACCAACAAGAGTTGGTATACTGATAATGTTAAAATTAACCAGGAAACATTTGGCGCTTATTGACAGAACAACATTACTCTCTCAGTTGAAATTTATAAAATCTTTCACTTTGAAACAATTTTTCAAGAAAATGAGCTTCACAAGTTCATTTATCATAATTTCTTGTATTAATGGAAGTTTTGTTTACTTCCTAACCTTTTGTTTAAGGTAGTGTGGAAAGCCAACATCTTGATTATGTCATTATTTTTCCTTCTATGTGGTTGGAAGGAAAGCTCTTGCAGTTTCTCAATTTAATCCTCTACAAACCAAAAGAACTTAAATGTGCTGTTTCAGATGTTGCTGTTGGAAATTTTCAAGTAATGCTGTTTTCCAAACAGAGACATAACAAACATGCACAAAAGGATAAAAGAAATAGCAGGAAAGAAAGCATCTTATCGTTTTATGACCTCTCCCCATTTTTGTGTATTGTGTGTTCGTTTGCTAGTATGTGTATACATATACCTTCACCATACATATATATTGTATTATAATAAGGAAATTATATATATATCATACTTATTATAAAACCCAGGTTGTGTGTGTGTGTGTGTGTCTGTACGTTTATATATGGGATTGGATTTCCTACATTTTTCAACCAATTTCAACAAAACTTCACAGGACTACGTAAAATTACCCAAAAATTAGAAAAACACAATTGTTTTTGCACGAAATCAATTTGAAAACACGATTAAGAGTCATCACGAGAATGAAAGGTGGACAACTCATATCGAGTTATACTTATTATAAAACCCAGGTTGTTTTGTATGTGTGTGTGTTTTTATATATGGGATTGGATTTTACATTTTTTCAACTGATTTCAACAAAACTTCACTTTTTTTTTTTGGCAGGTAGTGTTTCTTATTGTCTTGCACACTTTTTTCAGTTTTTATTTTTACATTCAGAATGCTTTAAAAATTCCATTTACAAGACAATTGTTTATAATAAAATTCTATTCAATCGGTAGACTCATTTGATTGAAAACAATGTTTTTTTTTGAGTTTGGGTTTGACCAATTAAGAAAAAAAAACAAAAAAAGACTAATTAAGACATGCGTGTCCGTCAACCTTAAACAATAATCTTTGTCAATTTTAATTTTCAGTCTTTATGATGGTGATACTTGATCTATCTCTTACTGTTACATCCCGACAACGGGGCTCTACTGTTAGTATATATATATATATATATATATATATATATATATATACACACTTTATGCAGTGTGCTGGGTTTGTGCACATGCTGACCGTATAGTGCATTTGTTTTTGTTCATATGTTCTCCATACATATTTGTATGGTATGTGTGTGTGTGTGTTTGTTTGGTCCAGCTAGTGTCTTTGTATGGTATGTGTGTGTGTGTGTGTGTGTGTGTATATATATATATATATATATATATATATATATATATAGTGCGATGGATAAATTGTCGTCTAAATTACACAAAAATAAAAAATAATGTACACATCTCATTTTTTTTTTTTTTTTTAAAAAGGTATATTTACCAAAATTGCACAAAATACTAAAGAATAAATTTATTCAATAAAATCGCCATTGGCTTCAACCATGGCCCCCAGGCAACTTTAGGATCTCCTGCAACTCTTCTGGATGGTCGCCTTGTTTAAGTTGGTGGATGCTGCCATAATTCTTGTTTTCAGTTCATCTTTGGTGTTACAAATAGTTTTGTTGGTCTCTTAGTCAACTGCACCTCACACATAATGATTAAGGGCAGTTGCAGTCTGGGGAATTAGGTGGACAGATGTAAGGGGTGAAGTGGTCGCAGAAATTATCTGACAGCCATGACTGTGTTCTCTTACTTGTGTCGCATGGTGCAGAATCCTGTTGCCAGACAGAGGGTCTTCTAGCAGCGACCCTCTTGATCCAGGGCAGCAAGCATTTAATATAGTCCTCTGTGTTTAGTCTGAGGCCTTCACCAACAAATTTAGTAGTTCTTTTCTTATCAGACTTTTACGACCTGCTGTACCTTTGTAATCACCATTAGATTCATCCAACTCTTTTCGAATCCTCTGCACTGACACCCAAACACTTTGAAATGTTTGTATTAGAGCTTCTGACACAAATGCCAAACAGTACAACATGGTGTTTCTACATTTCTGGTGAAATGAATTGCATAATGGTGCTCTTTTTGGCTTGTCAAGGTGATTGTTCAATAGAGTTCTCATTCATTCTTACCTGAATTCTTTTGTAGCTCACTGAAGATTGATCTATTGAGATCTTCTAGTATTCAGCTGTTCTTTTATATTTCCTTATCACTTTGCTAAACCTTATTAGTCTCAAAATCATCTAAGGTTGTCAGCATCTCTGAGAATCTCATCTGGTCCTACAAATTTGTTTCTCTTCATCTTGGCCAGTGCTAATCAAACCTCATATTTTCATATAGATCCTTCCCTGTTTTAACTATTTAGCATCCAGCCTAACCCGTAAATATTGGCTCTTAATGTTCAACCCGTTATAACACGTCCCATGTATACTCTACCATAATATATGATGGAATCTTTGCAAATAATGCAAACAGTGAGAATTTTGACCACTAATATTTTTTATGCATTATGTAACACATTAAAATTTGCATGCATGTTTTGATGCTGAAAACAAAAAAATGAAATACAAAATAAAAAAACAAATACATTAAAAAATACATAATAAATGTACTTTAACTTTTATTACTCCTTGTGGAGTTCTGGGGGTGCAATAAGAAGCAAAATCGCTAAGAAGGCTTTCATTTCATCAAAAAAGTGATGTTTCCTCGTGTTTACATATGAGAAGACACTAGCATTTGTTTGCACTTTCTTTCATCTGACTCATATTTGTCTCATTGACGAATAAAGTTATTATTTCATCATTTATAAATAGAGAAAGTAATTCACCTTCAGAAAGGCTATCAGGTATATCGATGGTCGCCAGTAGCTTCCATAAAATTAGTCAAGCATGGATGATAGTAACCACTAGTGGTCAGCATCACTTTCCTCCATGTCACTAGCGTGATTATCATCTTCAACCACTTCACCATCAATTTCCACTCAAGTAAAGCCATCAAAATCATCATCAGAGTCCTAATCAAAGAAAAACTCCTGAATCAAGACTTTGTTGGATATTGATGTGTCCATTTTTGTTTTGGAAAAAGCAAAACAAAAAAATTCTAAAATGGATTTAATTAATATTACGCACCTTAGTGTCTAGAAGAATTCAAAATGGCATTGGAAAACAGAAGTTCAACCTTCTTCCAAAAGTTAGTAGTAAAGGTTATTTTCAAAAAAAAAAATACCGGAAATAACAATTGACGAGTGTTTATTTATAGCAACCATCTCAAGGTGACAGAATGTGCCTAGAGAAGCAAAAGGAGAGAATTCTATGGTGACAGTTTTCACCCTGCAGCGTGGTAACAGTTAAAACATTTCCCAGAAATGGCTCTAAATTTTGATACCTCCAAAACAAAACTCTTTTAATCATCTTAGAGAACCTTTTTTTGACCTCCATCAGCATGACTGATGTTAACATCCAGAAGAACGACTCATTATGCCTTCTCGGGTTGATGTTTTGTGCTCACATGAAGTGGAAAGATTATGTCAAATCAATAGATCTGCTTCTAGGAATGTTGGATCGATATGTCATGCTAGACAATTTTTCTCAACAGAATCTATCTTACAAAATTTACCATTTATCTATGCATTGAATATTCCTGTCACATCTGGTTTGGTGCACCTGCTGTATATTTAGAGATCCTTGATAAAATCCAAAGAAGAATCTGCAATGTTGTCAGTCCGGACATAACATCTCAGCTTCAGTCACTTTACTACCGCCATAATGTACCTTTCCTGTGCTTTTTCTGTAAGTATTTTCATGATAATTGTTCTGACGAGCTTTCACCTTTGGTACCTCAACTTTACAAATTTAAGCACAATACTTGATTGGGGGTAAGATCTCATCATTTTACAGTTAAAATAGCTAGATGTAATCCGTATGTTCTATGCTAACAGTTTGCTCTCTTGCACTTCTTGCGTCTGCCCTCTTGCTTTCCAGTCAAATTTGATCTTTAAAAATTTAAATGCAATGTCTATTGTGACCTTCTATCTTCTTAATTCCTGTTCTTTTATTATTCTTTCACTTTAGTGTTTTCCTTTGTCTCTTATTGTCTCACACTCAGTAACCTCTTACCATTTTAGTAGTTTTACTGCCTTACAAGTTAAGCAACATCAAGCCTGGTCAGTACCTATATGGATGTCTGCTTTAGAATGCCAGATGTTGTACAGGTGGTGTAATGGAGAACAGCACAGGACTGAAAATCAGAGTCGAGTTTTAATTCCAACTGATTTTGTTATATTGAATTATGTGCAAATACCTTTGGGAAAGGTATGAATCCACCTTTTCTCCCCCCAAATAGAGGTTAATTAGTAGAACTTATATTAATAAATCATTATCTCCAAAAAAATCCTTACAATCTAAAAATATTGTTTTTAAATAATCAACAACAGGTTGATAAGCTGTAAAAACAAAATAAATCAATCAAGCGTATTAACAGATCAAGATTAAGAAGAAATAAAAAGCTTTACATAAATTTGACCTATGCAGTATTATTATCAGCAGCTGTAACTTTAACAACATATGCCATGCAAATGATAAAGTCTTGAGGTAGATTCAGAATAAAAAATCTCCAATTAACAATTCAAAGCCATTATTCACCATACAACATGCACATCCAAGCTTACAGCACCTGGTATTCCTAAGTGATCACCCATCTAGGTACTGATCAAGCTTGACATTGCTTAACTTGGTTGTTCATACAGGAAGCTGGTGTTTCAATGTGATGTGGTCATAAACAAATATCATTAGACACAATGAAAAGAATACTGAACTATTGTAATGTCATATCTCCTTCCCTCTAGTGAATGCAGGGCAATTGTCCTCAAATGAAGTTATGAATTGAAGCGGGTTACCCAATAAATATTGAGCATACCACAGACAGCATTTTAACAAGAAAAATGCATTTAATGATCAAAAAGAGAGCACTGAAATTGAAGGGGCACATTATGAGGAAAGAAAGTTTGGATAATTTAATACTCACAGTGAAGGCAAGGAAAGCAGAGGAAAACAGTAAAAGGTTTACCTGGTAAGTTTGACTAACGGGACAGTAAAATGAGTACCACAAGGCCAAAAGAGAGTGCAGGGGTAAAGAAACAAAAATTCCAGTAATACTTTGTTGTGGAAAGCCATGTCCTCAAGAGAGATATGATTCACAGAGAGGAGCTGTTTGGCCAAGGTAGGAACTTCATTTCTGTGTATATGTTGTAAGTATAATGATAGAAAAAAAATTACTTGATAATTTAAAAGTGGGGAGATAGTGAAGAAACCGGGGAATGAAAAGAAGGAATTTGTGGTTCATTTTGCTTACTTCTAATGCGGAATTCCAAATATTTTGAACTCAATTTTATGGCTTCAACTAAATATATACTATAAATAGATATTGTTGATTATTTTCTTATAAATAGATATTGTTGCTTATTTTCCTATAAATAGATATTGTTGATTATTTTCCTATAAATAGATAGTGTTGATTATTTTCCTATAGATATTGTTAGCAACTTTCCTATAAATAGATATTGTTAGCAATTTTCCCATAAATAGATATTGTTAGCAATTTTCCCATAAATAGATATTGTGAGCAATTTTCCTATAAATATTGTTAGCAATTTTCCTATAAATAGATATTGTTGATTATTTTCCTATGTTGTTGTTAATTTTTTTTGATATAAAAATGTATTGGTGGTATTTTTATACATTCATAGTGTTTTGTTTCTGGGTTCACTATTTGCCTACACCTGGGACCCTAACAAGTGCTACCAGCCTGGGTTTGAGTGGACCCTGGAACAACAGCAATTAAGACACTTCTCCAAATCTCCAATCTCCTGATCAAAGGCCTTGTTGCTAGATGTAGTTTATCATCATACCCCCAGACTGAAAGGGAAGGAACATGAACCAAGACAGAGAATCACTGAAGCAAAAAGAAGCAAGATTGCCACTGGGACAGAGTTATGGTTCTACATACCTTGTCCTGGTGGAGTAAGGAAGACAGCATTGCCAAGGGCTGCCAAAACTGACTGCTCAGCAAGACCAATACGAAGTTTGCCTCCAAGAGATCTTATCAGATACCGTGCTTCACATGATCGACAAGCCACAAACATTCCCTTAATTCGATCAATTTTCTTAGACATTGCCTGAAAAGTAAAAGAGAAAGGCATATAAATCAGTGCAAACTTGGAATCATGATTGACCAAAAAAAGAAATATGATGTAAACATAAAACAGACCCTCCCTTTTAGCTTTTCACTGACCAGAAAATGACCACCCCAAGTTACGTCTATCTTCTGGTTCATGTTGATGAGCAAAAAAACTGGGAAAAGGCTTGATGCATGCTGACAAAGAAATCAAAATAAATCCAATGTTATGAAATGAAAACTTCAAAACATATTTTCATTGTTTATTTTAGGGATTTTCTTGCACAAATTGGGTAGGTGATACTTGGGGATGACTTCTGCCTTTTCCAACCTCTCTAAGAAACCCATCAGCCTTTCCCTCACTTCTGACTTTCTCCAACTAACTCTCTGCTCATACATACATCATGACAAATGGTTGGCAACTGTAATGGGTGGTACTGGAATTACCCTGTGGGACAGCCTTTCTCCGGCTAACAAAGCAGTCCAGAACTACCCCAATCCCAAATGTGACTGTTAATATAAACCTGTGACCAGAAATACTTAATATTTGTTTTGTTATCACTCTTTCCCCAGAAGTTTCCATTTATATTAATTAATTTCCTTTTGGTCAAGTGGGTGGCTGCTTTCACAGACCCCACTTCCTAAACTTTATTACGGGTCAAAAAACACAAAAACACTTGAGATTGAAACAAAATCACACACAATACCCAGATAAGGAGTTAATACAATCGTTTCAATGACAATCAGTTTCTAAATTTTATTATTATGATCACGGATTGTCTGCTATCTCTAGGTAGACAATAAGTGTAACAAAACAGAAATAATCTTGAAGTGCTAATTTGGTCAAATAATCCTTGTAAAAAGTGTACAATCCAATTTAGTAACAAGAATAATTTTTTTAGTGCTTAAATTTTATCATGATCACGGCCCTCCACTACTTCTAGACCATGAGTTTCACAACACAGACTCCATCTAGAACAACAAAGTGTTATATTGGTCATATAATCCTTGTATAAAAAAAACAAAAAAACATACAGTTCAATTTAGTGACAAGAATAAAAGTTATTTTTTAACTGTTTCTTCCCAAACAAGGCAATAATACCACTAAGAGACAAGGGGTTATTGAGGGTGAAAAAGATGAGAAAACATTAAAAGACAATAAAAGAATAGGATTCAGGAAAACAGAAGATGGTAATTGATGCTGCATTTAAAATTTTAAAGATCATAGGTGGCAGGAAAGCAAAAAGTCGGAAAAATTTTGACAAAAAAAAAAAAAAGAAAAAAGGTCAACCATAGTAATTCTGGAAGATGATAATCTTAAGGTATGCAGTCTCTGCTATTATAGTGCTTGATAGTGGAACAATAAATAAAATAAATTTGTTTATGAATGTCTATTCTGAATTTTGTAGAATAAATTCTCATTCACCATCTAGTCTCCTGAAGAGTGGAAGTGATTGCAAGAGACCAACAGTAGAAACATTCACAAAATAAATCAACAAATTTATTTTATATATATATATATATATACATAAATAAACACACACACACACACACACACACAGACGATTGCAAATTTTAAAATAATGAATGTCGCTCTTATTTGTAGATATACAAATATCTATTAAGATATATGACCTTGTAAGTTTGGATAAATAAAATATTATTTACATCCTCCCTTCCTCCATGTGTGTGCATAAAATAAAAGCAAAATTGAATGAGATATATCAGAGAGAGAGAAAGATAATTGAACAAACACACACACTTTTGTGAATTTTTATGTCAGTTTTATTTTACACACTATTTTACATGTTTTTATTGTTTATTTTTGATTTTTATTATTTTATACATACACATAGACACACAACCAACTATGCAAACAAAATTGTGATACATTTCTCCATCCCCACCCCGTATAAAGCTAATAGCCGGCAAAGAATTTCATGACTGTAATATAGAAGATTATTTTCTTAAATTTTGTTTTTAAAATTGTATATTCTTAGCTACACCCCCCACCTTTGTAGCAACAGCCAAATCTTAGAAAGTGATGAAGGAAAAAAAATGGAAGAAGAATGGATGGTATTAATAATAATTGTCAAAAATGAAAGAGACAACATTGATGATGATGATGATAATAAGAGAAAGAAATCAAAGGGAAATGTTAATGATAATCAGATTAATAATAGGAAGAAAACAATGGATAATAATAATAGGGATAGTAAGAAGAAAAAAGGAAGATGATGCTGATTAAGAAAAATGGTGATGAGAAATTTGGAAGATAAAGAGAGGTAAGAAAAATAACACAAGGAAAATGAAGAAAGATATTAAGAAAATGGAACTCTGATAACAATGATGATAATGATAAAAAGGATCGGATGATGATGATGGAAAGAAGAATCTGATGATGATGATGGAAAGAAGAATCTGATGATGATGATGGAAAGAAGAATCTGATGATGAGATGATGGAAAGAAGAATGATGATGATGGAAAGAAGAATCTGATGATGATGATGGAAAGAAGAATCTGATGATGATGATGATGGAAAGAAGAATCTGATGATGATGATGGAAAGAAGAATCTGATGATGATGATGGAAAGAAGAATCTGATGATGATGATGGAAAGAAGAATCTGATGATGATGATGGAAAGAAGAATCTGATGATGATGATGGAAAGAAGAATCTGATGATGATGATGATGGAAAGAAGAATCTGATGATGATGATGGAAGAAGAATGATGATGATGATGATGGAAGAAGAATCTGATGATGATGATGGAATGAAGAATTGATGATGATGATGATGGAAAGAAGAATCTGATGATGATGATGATGGAAAGAAGAATCTGATGATGATGATGATGGAAGAAGAATCTGATGATGATGATGATGGAAAGAAGAAAAAATGATGATGATGATGGAAAGAAGAAGAAGATGATGATGATGATGGAAAGAAGAATCTGATGATGATGATGGAAAGAAGAATCTGATGATGATGATGATGATGATGGAAAGAAGAATCTGATGATGATGATGATGATGGAAAGAAGAATCTGATGATGATGATGGAAAGAAGAATCTGATGATGATGATGATGGAAAGAAGAATCTGATGATGATGATGATGGAAAGAAGAATCTGATGATGATGATGATGGAAAGAAGAATCTGATGATGATGATGATGGAAAGAAGAATCTGATGATGATGATGATGGAAAGAAGAATTGGATGATGATGATGAAATGATGATGATGATGAAAAGAAGAATCTGATGATGATGATGATGGAAAGAAGAATGATGATGATGATGATGGAAAGAAAGAATATGATGATGATGATGATGGAAAGAAGAAAAATGATGATGATGATGGAAAGAAGAATTGATGATGATGATGATGATGATGAAGAATCTGATGATGATGATGATGGAAGAAGAATCTGATGATGATGATGAAAATGAATTTGATGATGATGATTAAAGAATGATCTGATGATGATGATGATGAAGAAGAAGATGATGATGATGATGATGATGGAAGAAAGAATGATGATGATGATGATGATGGAAATGAAGAATCTGATAAAAAAATGATGATGATGATGAAGATGATTCTGATGATAAATGATAAAAGAAAATGATGATGATGATGATGATGAAAAGAAGAACTGATGATGATGATGATGATGGAAGATAATGATGATGATGATGATGATGAAAAGAAGATGAATGATGAGGATGATGATGGAAATGAAGAATCTGATGATGATGATGATGATGGAAAGAAGAATCTGATGATGATAAATGATGGAAAGTTGAATCGATGATGATGATGTCAATGAATTGAAAAGATGATGAATGGAAATGATGATGATGATGACAAAAAATAATGATGAAAATGAAAAATGAAGATAATGATGATGATGATGATGATGAAGATGAATAGAAAAGATGATGATGATGAATGTGAAAAGAAATGATGATGATGATGATGATGATGATGATGATGAAGATGATGATGATGATGATGATGAATGATGAAAATGATGATGATGATGAAGAAAAGAAAATGATGATGATGAAAATGATGATGATGATGATGATGATGAATGATGATAATAATGATGATGATGAAATGATGAAATGATGATGATGATGTTTGAAGAAGTCAATGATGATGATGATGATGATGATGATGATGAAATGATGATGAAATGATGATGATGATGAATGATGATGATGATAATGAATGGATGGAAAGAAGATGATGATGATGATGATGATGAAGAAAAATAAAATTTGATGATGTTTAAAGAAAATGAAAATGATGATGATGATGATGATAAAGGAAATCGATGATGCAAATGATGATGACAAAGAAAGAAAATGATGATGATAATGATGATGATGATGATGATGATGATGAAATAATATGATGATGATGATGATGATGGATCTAGAATGATGATGATTTTAATAATGGAAAGATTTGAATGATGATGATGATGATGAAAATGAAAGAAAACAATGATGATGATGATCCTAAAGAAGAAACTGATGATGATGATCCAAAATGATGAATGATGATGATGATGAATTAAAAGAAGAACAATCTGATGATGATGATGATGAATTGAAGAATATGAAAAATGATGATGATGATTTTTAAAGAAGAATGATGAATGATGATGAAAATGATAAATTGATGATGATGATGATGATAAAATAAGAAGAAAATGATGATGATGATGATGATGAAGGAATCTGATGATGATGGATGAAAAAGAAGAAAATGATGATGATGATATCTGAAAAATGATGATGATAAAAAAGAATCTTTTCATGATTTTTGGAAAATATTTGCTTGATGATGACTTTAAGAAAAAAAATAATGATGATGTTTATTTTCTAGCCAAATGATGATGATATTTAATAGATTTAGAAGAAAATGATGATGATGGATGATGAGTGAAAATGATGATGAGTGATGGAATTCTTTCTAAATG